TTCGCAGAGAAAATGCACGAAACCACACAGTTAAAGCGGTGAAAAACGTGAAAAGCCAGGCAAATTAGCACATTGTCATGCTCCCAATCACACCGAGCAGGATTTAGATGCATTTATCCGCCTACAAAAAATCAACCGGCCGCCGGCAATGGAAATTCGTCTTATTTGCTTAACCCACAAGAATCTCTATCGACTAATCGACCAAGTTAATTAATGTAAATGCGACTTTCACCCAAATGATCGATTAGCGGCTTCTAGCCGGCATGTTTAGTGGCACGCCACTGGAAAAGTCGTTTATTTCCCCACAAGGAGCCAAAAAAACGGGCAGAAACTGGGCCAATCGAACAAACCGATCACTAATTTACACAGAAAATTCATCGTTTGTTCAACGATCAGGGATTTTCCAGCGTATTCGCCCACTGTGACACTGATCTAACGTCAAGCTTTGGCACTTGTCATCTGTCACTCTGCCGACCTGCGCCCTACCTGTCATTTGACTGACAGTGACAGATGAGTCAAAATCCGAAATCCAGGTGGTTAGAGGCTTAATAAATGCAACCCCAAAACGGTTCGGTTCTATTAACAAAAGAAGACAAAGCGATTCGAAAGTAGCTGGGTACCGTTCAAGAGCCCAGGTAAGAAGAACCATCAGACAACAGGTGTTTCGACCGATTTTCAACATTCTCGAGGTCGTTAACATAAAAATGCCGGCCATTTGTGTTTGTTTTGGTCCTTAACCGGCAACATGGCACAGCTTTTTCCCATATTCTAATTAATAAATTGAGGTTATGTTTGATATGTGTCCAGAGCGGGGTGCCGTTCAGTGCGCCTATTTTGAGCGACTCCATGTGGGATTTGTGCCGTTTAACCGTGCCAATTAAATGTTTTGCTCGGATTTGCCTCTGGGGAGTCGATTCATGCACGCAAATGCGGGTGGAACTTTATTGCGGCGCTACTCGTGCGTGACGTCATAGTGGCGTTTGGACCCTTTGCTTTGGATCGTTTTTGCTTCATCGGGACAAGAAAATGTTTTAGAGCAAGACGGTGCAGTTGAGCACAATGCATCGTCCAGTTTTCGTACTTTTTGATGTTTGTACAATTTTTGACAATTTTTTTAAATGTCATTTTGAGACCTCTGTACAAATTTTCAAAATTTGCAACGTCGCTCCAGGGCCAGGGTTGTTGTTTTTTGGGCAGTTTTTCCTTGGAAAGATTTCTGTTTGTACAATTTGCTGCAATTTTGACATTGTACATTTTTTCCAACTGTCAATTTTGCACTGTTGGCTGTTCAAGGTCATTGGGCCAATTGTGCAAGATTTCAAGGTTTTGCAACGTCGCTTTTAACGGTCAGGGTTCTTGATTGCAATTTTTTGTACAGTTTTCACTTGGAAAGATTTCTGTTTGTACAATTCGCTCGCTTCAAGGTTGACACTGTCGATTTTTGAAACGCTTTAAACGTCACTTTCCAGTTATTTTTAACCATGTTCTAGCGAAAAAGTGCAATTTAATATATTTTTTAATATTGTGCAATTTTTTTCTGCTTTAAAATGTCAATTTAAACGGTTTCTTGTGGTCAATTGTGCAAGATTTCAAAGGTTTGCAACGGCGCTTTTAACAGCTCGAGTTGTTGATGGATATATTAGTCTTGGTTATTGTACATTTTCATGGAAAATTCACAAGATAATTTTTGTGGCAATTTAGACGTTTGTTGTCGATTGTACATTTTTTTTTCAATACCATTTTTGTACAATTTTACTCATCGTCGACATTTGTAGAATGTTGCTTTTTTTGCGCCCTCGGAATGTCAATTTCTCCCTATTTTCCAGGCTAAAATGCTCCTGTTGTACAGTTCAGTTTTGTACAAAAGTGTCAGGGTCAAGCAGATTTTTCAGTTGAATTTGCCTTCATTTATGATATTTTGTACATTTCCGGCCATACCCTCTGTACAACATGAGCGAACCAAATTCACCAGACCGGGTTGTCAAAAATCGTACATTTCTCCAAAAGTATCCAACGTAAATTCTAGTCCATTTAGTACTTGGCTCAAGGCGATCGCAAATGTACAACTTTTGCGTGCAGTAGAAAATCATCCAGGGGTGTTGTTTGGACAGTTTTTTGTACAATTGCCTGCCACCTACAGTGTTGCAATTCTTCGAAAATTTCCCGGAAAATCAGAAAAGTCACTGATTGACCGAACTTTCGGGCATTTAAACCGCCCCCACTGCTCGGGTACCACAAAACGGTTCGTCTGGGTACCTGATTGTGCCTTTTTGGGCCGTTTCTCGCCCAACAGACCGCGTACCAGACGGGAGAAGGAAACTGGTTTAAGCGGCTGTTTCGACCTGATTCGACATTATTGAGACTGAAAATGGCCGGTTTGAGGGTATGCGATCAGGGGCGCACTTTTTCCCCAATTTTTAGCCCCACGCGCCACTGGTTTGGCTTCCATTTCATCTTGCGAGCCTCTTTCGGACGATATTAAAAAAATCAATACGTCACAATTTTAGGGCGCACGAGACGCAAAAGGGGGCTAAAACAGCCAGTCTGCACCCCCCAACTGTCCCCCACCCTTAACCAGTGGCGTGCAGGCTTCGACTGTTTTT